CAGGAAACAACTTCAAGGGTCTTTTTTTTTTTTTGCAGTTTTTGGCCAGGGCTGGGTTTGAACCCACCACCTCCAACATAAGGGGCCGGTGCCCTACTCCTTTGAGCCACAGGCACCACCCAGTAAGATATACCCTTTACACAAACTTCAAACATTATGGAACCATAAAATGAAATAATCAACAATTTAAGAGTATATTTTTCTAAATTAAAAAAAAAATTGTCTAGGCATTCAGTATTGGGTGTCCAGGACTGTTTTTCATGTGGTATCCTTCTACAGTTTAATCACCACATGGCTCTGTTGGGCCCAATGCCTTTTGTTCCAAATATAAATCCCTCTCAGTGCTCTGTGTGGAGTCCTCTGAAACTAGCCTGGGTTAGTAATCTCCTCACTATTTCAAACAGTTAGGTTATTGCAGACTGGTGGATAAGGGGTAATTTAATATTCTGTCTGAGTGCTAAGATGTCCATTTCTGGGAATTGCTATTTTTCGAAGTATTATAAGAAAACAGACCTTAGTAAGCCACGCTGAGAACAGTTTAGAAGACGCTCTGCCATGTCTTTGTGCTTGGAATCAGCAGCAGCAGCAGAGGCGGCGGCAGCAGCGGTGAGGCTGGGGTTTGAACTGGGGCTGAGTTACGGTGTGCCCTCTGGATGACGTTTCTGCCTCTGTTTTCTTAACTTGTTTTCTCATTTTGTGTCAGTGCCCATAATCTGTCTATGTCAAGCGTATCACCCTCTGTGTACTTCAGATGAGCTAGTGACTTACAGAAATGATGGGAGCAGTTAAAGAGATCTCTCCACACTTCTGTGTATACAACCCCATTATCCAATGGTCCCACCATGTCTCCATTCACACAAGATCTGTTTACAGTGTAGCCCTGACACGCCTCCCATTGAAATAGGCTTTTGTGCCTGGATAGAGTAAGGGAGAAGTGGCAATATGTGACCTCCAAGGCTAGGTCACCCACAGGAAAGCACTTTCTCTCCTGTTCCCAGGAATGCTTGCCCTAGAAGCAGGTTGGCTGTCCTGAGGCTGCCATGGGGTGAGGACTCAAACCAGCCCTCAGTGACAGTCGGTAAGGAGAGACCCTGAGACTGCTAGGAGAGAAAAAGAGAGAGAGAAAGAGAGAGAGAGAGAGAGGAGAGAACCTGACAGCCCTTGCTGTCCCTCTTTCTAGTCCCAGACACTGTTTAACCTCAACTCTGTGAGAAGCCCTGGACCAGAACCAACTAGCCCAGTCCTTTCCAAACTCTGAAGCCACAGAAACCATGAGAGAGAATGTCATCACGATTATTAAGACACAAATATATATATTTTTTGAGACAGAGTTTCACTATGTTGCCCTGGGTAGAGTTCTGTGATGTCACAGCTCATAGCAATCTCAAACACTTGGGCATAAGCGATTCTCTTGTTTCAGCCTCCCGAGTAGCTGGGACTACAGGTGCCTGCCACAGTGCCCAGCTATTTTTGTTATTGTTGCAGTTGTCATTGTTGTTTAGCTGGCCCGGGCCGGGTTTAAACTGCCAGCCTTGGTGTATGTGGTTGGCACCATAACCACTGTGCTACGGGTGCTGAGCCTAAGACACAAAACTTTGAGGTAACATGTTATATAGCAATACATAACTGGAATACCCTACAAGCTTTTCCAAATTTCCTCGCTTCTTACAGAATATGAATTTCCACTCTAAGCTGAAAGAAGAGATGTGGACTGGCACAGGTACAGTGGACAGTGTGGGTGCCCAGAATTAGCAGGCACTATGTAGATGTTGACCCAGGACCTTGATAGAAAAATGGCATATTATTGAAGCTATTCAGTGGTGATATCTAGGGAAAATATGGAATTTAAACAAAAACAAGCAATTTAAAAAAATAGTTATGAGAGTCAAAAAACACAAACAGAAATATAACATTGGCCATCTCACAAGATTGACACTGAACTTGTCAAGCCACTTAATTCTACCTTCTTTTCTCTTTTTTTTTTTTTTTTTTTGAGACAGAGTCTCTCTATGTTGCCCTTGGTAGAGTGTTGTGGTGTCACAGCTCATAGCAACCTCCAACTCCTGGGCTCAAGCAATCCTCTTGCCTCAGCCTCCCAAGTAGCTGGGACTATAGGTGCCCACCACAACGTGCAGATACTTTTAGAGATGTGGTCTTGTTCTTGCTCAGGCTGGTCTTGAACTCCTGATCTCAGGCAATCCTTTAGCCTCAGTCTCCCAGAGTGCTGGAATTACAGGCGTAAGCCACTGCACTTGCCTCTTAATTCTACTTTCTAAGGCCAAAACCCATACTTGCTGAAATTGTTCAGTAAAATTTACGTGCTTGGAACACTTTAATTTCTTTTAGTAATGGATAGTGTTGTTTTTTTTTAAATTAAAACTAAGTATATAGACAGAGATGTGCCTGATTCATTTGATCTTGTTTTCATCTGACAAATACTCATATCTGTCTCTGCTGTCAGGAGGAATCATCTGAGGAGATGGGGAGGTGAGGAACAGGCCGCGGGCACACAAGTCAGGTGGCGCAGGACCCAGGAAGTCAGTTCCAGAGTCCGTGTTCTAAACTACCGTATTTAATGCCATGTTGACAAGTACACGCACCTGCCACTACTTGTCTAAATGAGTGCTTTCCCTGTCAGAGTTGATGAATATTTCTGGGAATATCCTCTGTGAAGATAAGTCCACTAAAAACATGTAAATGAAGAGTTACTGACCCGTCTTGTACTTATACCTGAAAAAATAATTCTACCATTCAGAAATATTTTCAAGGTCAGGCCCAGTGGCTCAGGCCTATAATCCCAGCACTCTGGGAGGCTGAGGTGGGTGGATCACCTGAGCCAGAGGAGGACCCCATCTCTAAAAATAGCTGGGCGTTGTGGCAGGCACCTATAGTCCCAGCTACTCGGGAGTCTGAGGAAAGAGAATTGCTTGAGCGAAGAGTTTGAGGTTGTGAGTTATGATGCCACAGCACTCTACCAGGGGCGACAAAGGGAGACTCTATCTCAAAAAAAAAAAGAAGAAGAAAAGAAAAATATTTTCAAGTGCTTCAATACAAAGCATCCCAAGTATTATACAAATGATACAATTTAAAAACACAACACAAACTGGGCACTTGATGGCACGAAGTTGTAATTCCAATTACTTGGGAGGGTGAGGTGGGAGGATGGCTTGAGCCCAGGAGTTTAACACCAGCTTGGGCAACATAGTAAGACCCCTTCTCTGAAAAAAAAGGAAACTATAGGCTCAGTGCCTATGGCTCAGTGGCCAGGGCACCAGCCACATACACCAGGGCTGGTGGGTTTGAACCCAGTCCGGGCCTACCAAACAACAATGGCAACCACAACAAAAAAAATAGCTGGGCGTTGCAGCAGGCACCTGTAGTTCCAGCTACTTGGGAGGCTGAGATAAGAGAACTGCTTAAGCCCAAGCGCTTGAGGTTGCTGTGAGCTGTGACGCCAAGGCACTGTACCAAAGGTAACATAGTGAGACTCTGTCTCAAAAAAAAAGAAAAAAAAGTTAGTTTCCATGTTACTGAGATGTGCACACTGAATTCTTGCACAGTTCAGATTTTGTACTTACCCACTTCTTGTGTGTCAGTGGTTTGTCTCCACAGGCCTAGGTTTGCCCACCCGTCTCCAGTGTTAGCCTTACCATATTGTAAGTGAATGTTTGATAAACCTTTTAATGAATTAAGGGGTAAATATGTGGGAAATAAGATGACCTGGGCCATGAGGGAAAAGTATAACACTTGTTGAGCACTCTCTATGGGATAGGCACTGTTCTAAGTGCTTTGTGTATTTTTGATGTCTCAATGGGATGTGCTTTCCAGATGCCAGGGAGTCTGTATCATTCACTACTGTTCTTCCAGGACCTGGCCCTGGGTCTGACAAGGGCATATAGTCAGTGACCACTAAATCACTATCTATTAAAACAATACACAAAAATTGAATATTATCTCCACAACTTTAAAAGGCAGATATTTTTATTATCCTCATTTTTCACTCAGGAAACTATGGCCCAGAGAGAATAAGGTTTCTAAAGTCACAGACCCACAAAGATTTAAACCCAGTCAGTGTGATTCAGAATTCATACTTTATGGATTGAAGGTACACTGAAGTCCTCGTCCTCTAACTGTGCATGTAAAACCTAATGTATTCTTCTTCTTTTTGTTTTAATTAGAGACAGAGTCTCATTTTGTCACCCTTGGTAGAGTGCTGTGGCGTCACAGCTCACAACAACCTCCAGCTCTTGGGTGTAGGTGATTCTCTTGCCTATTCTGGAGGCTAATTTGAAAATAAAACTGATGCTCAGTGTAGTTATTGGAAAACTTTAAAGTATATTTGCAACAAGTTGGGTATAGGAATCCACTATTACAATTGTAAATTTTATAAAATCTAAGTACAAATCAAGTATTTCTGACAAAAATTTGGGGTCCAAGTTGAGATGTACTATAATATAAAATATGTACTATATTTTAAGATGTAATACTATTGGGCTTCTTGTGTGAAGAAACACAGGATAATTCACCATCATATAGATACTTTTTTTTTTTTTTTTTTTTTGCAGTTTTTGGCCAGAGCTGGGTTTGAACCCGCCACCTCTGGCATTTGGGGCCAGCGTCCTACTCCTTTGAGCCACAGGAGCCGCCCCATATAGATACTTTTTTATTAGATCATCTTTTTCTCATGAAAGTAAATATTTGAATTGCTATATGTGCTATTAGGTTTTGCCTGAGATTTTATGAAGGGATCTGGGGTTGGGTTAGGGAGAGGGTCCCTACGAAGCAGAGGACACCAGTCCAGGAATGAGAAGGGCTTTATTAGTAGAGAAAGGAGAAAAAGCAGAGTGGACTCTGAGCAGGAGCCAGCTCAGCTTCAAAGTTTCAAGAGGAACTTTTATTACCCCTTATCAGGAGGGTTGAAGGTAGGAGGGGGTTCCCAGATGGGTCATCTCTTCTGCAGGGAGAGGGAGACTGATTTCTGTACTCAGGGCAGACTTAGAAGTTACTCCCTTAATTGGCAGCCAGCCAGGACCAGAGTAAAAGTTACTGTTCCGTTGTTTCCCAGGAGGCCGGCCTTGAAGCATTCCAGGGGGTGGGCAGGGTTGCTGTGGTCATCCAGTTTGGTTCCTGGCCTGCTTTCTCCCACCAGCTGTGCCCTTGGCGGGGTGGTGAGGACGTGTACCCCATGTTCTGCACCTACAATCGCAACTGACATTAGGTCAGAATCTCTACTTCAATCATATTTTAATCTATGTTGTACAGGCTAATTATGTGGCAAAATCATTTTAACTTGGGCAAGAAATATATGCTTTTGACTGATGAAATTCTCACCCGAGTACCAAAACCCTACAAGTTGTAGTCCCATCATTTGTGAACCACACCCACTGTTAAAGTTACCAGTCATGTGCAGAATGTTGCTTCTTAAAAAGCAAATTATAACAAAAATATTTTCTATGTTTGTTTTCCTATATATTCTTGGCAATAACGCCTTACCTTGCAAACAAGTAAAAAGAACTAAAAATGTAGTGTTCTAGCTAACATTTCTGGGGAAAAACAGATTCTTTTCCGTATTCTTGGAACTGGATGTTAGTGACACACTGCCTTCCTCAGCCAGGCCTTATCCTGCTGTCATGATGACTGGAACTCCCTTCATATGAGAAGCAAGCATGTGGACAGAAGGTGTGAGCTTTCACCTGCACTGGTCCCGTACTGTCCTCCCCACCTAATGCTGGCCAGACACACTTTTTGTGTTACTCTCTATTTTTATAATAGCTTTCCTATCTGTAAACATTACATCTCAGAAACAGGAATAGACAAGTAATACGTCTAAATTGAAGCAGTAAGGGCCTCATTATAACAGGGTTCTACTGTACTAACAATTTTTGTTTCTCTTTAAGCATCTTGAGTTTGGCTCCCGGGCCTGCTTGTAAACTGTTTTCATCTCACACAAAACATGAGTGAATTCCTGAGAGTGAGTTTTGTAAAGTATACCTTCTTCTTAGATGTTGTAGAGCTAATTTTTATGCATTATAGAATTTACAATGAAATGTGTCATTAAATAGGGGGAATGTTTTTTAAAGAACTTTGTGATGCTAATAAAATGTTCTCTATAAAAACAGGAAGGCTGAGCAGTGGCTCACTTTGAAAGGCGGAGGCAGGAGGATTGCTGAGGCCAGGAGTTCAAGACCAGCCTGACAACATAGCAAGGCAGGTCTGTACAAAAAAACAAAAATAATAGTCTGAGTGGTGGCGTATTCCTGTAGTCCTAGCCACCTGGAAGGCTGAAGTGGGAGGATCCCTTGAACCTAGGAGATTAGACTGCAGTGAGCTGTGAGTGTGCCACTGCTCTCCCGCCTGGGCAAGAACCCACTCCAAAAAAAAGAAAAAGAAAGAAAAGAAACCAACTAATTCCAGATCGTTCTAAGACTAGCCCAGAGAAACCTCTGAATGTAAATATGACCAAAAAACAAACAAAGAAACAAACAAAATTACTCTCACAAATCATTCTGGTAAGGAAAAATCATAACTAGGAGTGAAGACAACACAGTGACCGGGTGTCCCTGTAGTTTATGGAGCTATAAAAGCAACAAGTGATTAATCCCAAACACTACGCTTCACAATACAGAGATGAGGGGGGCAGAAACTCATCATACTACTTAACTGAAAAGGAGGTTGGGGCACAGACCCTCTAGGTTGTTATTACAGGGCGTTTGGTCAGGTCCTTCTCTGGCTAACTGTGCTCTGACTATCCAGTCTTTGAACTTCCAAGGATAAAGTCCAATAATATAGTAACAAAATTTCAGTGCTGGATGAGAACTTATCTTGACATTCTTGTTTTACTAAAGAAAAAACTGCAGCCCTGAGAGATGGAATGATCATCAGGGCTTGGAGAGAGCAATGGTTCTTGAACATCTATCTGGTTTCTAGAACTCCCAGAAAGTTTTATCTGAGATAACTAGGGCTGTTCATGGAATCTCTGCACCCTTAACACCTTGCCTCTTACGAAAGGCATTCTAATAAAATTGCCCTGAACACCTGCAGAAACTGATGGGGTGTGGCAGCCCAGCCTCCCTCCTCTCCAGCCTTTTTCCCAGTTCAGCCAGGGGCTGGGCTTTCTGGGTCAAGGTTGGTTCCCTCCAGCCTCAGACCTGGGGCCTGGCCAGTCCCGACAGGACTGTGGCCAAATAGCTTCCAAGACAGTAACCAGAAAGGAGAGACCAATCTGAGTCTCATCAGGCAGCCTGGGTCTTATGTCACCAGCCCTGGTCCCCTCACTAGTCCTTCTCTGTGCAGTGCCCCTCAGGTCTGACCAGCCATCCCATCTTTTCCCACCTTCCCAAGATGGGCAGGCCTGCATGTGGCCTGCATCCCACAACCTGGTCTCTGGGGTCAGGGGGACCTGAACCTGACTTCTCACCAGGGTCTTTGGGGTCAGGGGGATCTGGCCTGCCACTCTCCCTCCTCTGGGATCAGGGGACCTGGCCTGCCTACTCCACCCTCCCAGGCCTCTGGGGTCAGGGGGATCTGGTCTGCATCCAACCTGGTGTCTGGGATCAGGGGGACTTGGCTTGCCCTCCCTACCGCCTGGTCTCTGGGGTCAGGGGGACCTGGCCTGCCTCCTATTTGGTCTCTGGACTCAGCGGTACCTGGCCTGCTCCCCTACCTACCCAGGTCTCTGGGGTCAGGGGAACATGGCCTGCCTCCCCCACCCACCCAGGTCTCTGGGGTCAGGGGGACCTGGCCTGCCCCCCTCCCCTCAGGTCTTTGGGGTCAGGGACCTGGCCTGCTCCCCACCTGGTCTCTGGGGCAGGGGACTCGGTGC